AAAAACCAATCCAGTTGAAATGGTTTCCAAGGTTTTAAGACGTTTGAATCGGGAAAGTTTCCTGGACGGGAAGCGAAACATCTTCAAACCTTGGAAACCATTTCAACTGGATTGGTTTTTAAACTTTTACGGGGATAAGCTCTTCCCCCCCAAACCAGAGGGTGGCAGCAGTGACTATGGACAGCTTTAGCTGAAAATGTATCATACTTAGGACAGAAAACAACTAAAGAAAGGTAATCCATGCCTCGCTTGAAGACTCAAGCTGCTGATCAAAGCAGTCAGCAGAGTGAATGAAGCAGGTGAGAACAGAACAGACACCAGAGGCTGCAGACACTCGCTGTTACTTATTATCATATTAGATACATTCACAGCTTCTTTCTAGTCCACCTCTGCTTAGCATTCTTCCTCATCTCATTACTTTCATCCTTCAGCTGTTTCTACTTCTGTCTTGATTGTCTAACATATCTTTCTCTAAATTAGTATTTAAGCTTTTGGTTTTCTGATCCTGCTTATGCTCATGCTGCTTATCTGTTCATCCTTCTGGTTCCTTGCTCCTATTGCTGTAATCTGTTCTCTAGATGTTTTTTTTTTTTTAAGTGTAAGATTTATTCTATTAATATCTGAAAGGCTACAGGCACACAACAGGAAAATGCTAGATAAATCAGTATTTTTTCTGCTCATATGTGACTCATGTCTGACTTTTGAACAGCATCTAAATGGCCAAATTTCCTTTCCAATTCTTCTCACCTAAACAATCCTATTTTACAAATTTTCATAAAGCAAGGAAAACAGTATTTGTCCAGCTTCTGATTGACCAAGTTCTACGACTTAGAAAGACGAGAAAGGTCTCAAGTTTTCATCAAAGGTTCACTTCAGAGGCAAAAGGGTTAGAACCTTTTAAAGAACATTGTCCACTGAGACCCTAACATGAACATATAAGGCTTTCAGTTTTAAGTACACTTCTGCTAATGTAGCATCCATCTGTCCAAACACCCACACATGACCAATCAGATAGATGGATAAACAGAGTTCCCACTTTTCTCCTACATCCTCCCTGCTCTTTCTGCCCCAGGTGTCCTCTCCTCTGGTCTTTGCCATCTTTTGTCCGCTAAGTACCAGTTTACAATATTTATGAGGCCTGGAGGTCCAACAGGCAGCAGGACACACGGTTTGAGGGGCTGCTTGTACAGTAAACGTGTCAGAGTGGTTTTGTGTAAAGACAGCACACGGGGGAGTCTGATGTGCTGCTGACTTTCAGGGTTTATGTGTAGAGCAGAGTTTAGAAAGGGATCATTGCAGGATTTGAACTAAAATAAATATAATTTAAGTAGCTGTGTTGGAAAACATTTCCAACTTTAATGCATGGTGTCATTTTGTCAGTGTTTAGCAAAAAACATACATCAGAGGGCATCTTTTGATTTTCAACGTATAGGGGTTACTTTGACAAATTTAATGAAATTGGACCCCAACATTTTTCTAACCCCTAGGTGGAACAATGAAGGATCCAAGTGTATTTTCTCCAGTGTAAAAAAAAACTCCAATGTACACCGCTACTAAACTTCATCAATTGGGGGGCATCTTCAAAAAAATCTTTAAAATTAGAATCCATCCAGGGGTTAAGCTAGATCATTGCCACTCATATTCCCTCTCCTAACACCTGACTAGTAGAAAGCTTGAGTTTGAAGGTGTTGACTGAATCAGATGGTGACAGGGAGTATGGACTGCTAGCAAGCTTTAGGATGAACATGAAAGCAGAAGCTGCTAGCTGTGTTCAAATCCAGCGGCTGCGTCCTCTGAAGGCCAGATTCTTCAGCCGATTATGTCATACAGTAGTAGCCATTCAGAATATCCCCACTTTCCTTGGCTGGTCCTTGGCTGGTCATTGGCTGGTCCTTGGCTAGTCCTTGGCTGGTCCTTGGCTAGTCCTTGGCTGGTCCTTTGCTGGTCCTTGGCTGGTCCTTTGCTGGTC